AGATGTTCATACCACAAATAATCAATTAATCTTTCTTTGTGCAGTTTGAATGCTTTAGAATCTGGCCCTTCCACGTAATATGTACAAAGAACATGCAAGGTTTTGGCGATCTATTAATTTAAAAATAAAGATCCTCAATTATGAATGTTGTGAATAAATAGGACAGATATGTATATATACAAATATAAAGGTTAATATTTACAAAACAAATATTAAGATAATCAGTATTTTCATCATCGAGTTTAATTAATTCGTAACACTCTTGAATTGCAATATCTCGAAGGTTAGAATTAGGAAGTAATTCATAAATATTAAGCATATCTATAAATAATGATGTATCAGGTCTCTCAATTTTAATTAATAAATTAACAAATTCATAATAAATAAAGCTTACAATTGCATAAATTTAATAATTTAGTATGCGGAACAGAAAGGTCAACCATAGCAATATTATTTCGAGTTTTTGACCAATCAATTGTCTCAAATGGTTGAACATATAGTTCCTGCCTAAGTCTCTCAATTAGTGGAGTAATTTTGGCAGTTATTCTACGCCCATAACAATATCCCATTGGAAGGTATATTGCACGAGTATGAGCCCAAAAATGACTCGGATGAAATGGTACAAAATCTGGAAGCAACCTTTTATCATTTATTAAAAGAAATTAAGAACACAAGAAATATAATAAATAAATATATATATGCATATTTGAGAGAAAATTACCATAGTTCTGGTGGAAATGGATTAAGCCCATCCCAGTCATATACATTTAAACATGCCAACCAAAATTTTCCCCATGGAGGTATACCAATTGCACCTCCTGTGAGTTCCGAGTTTTGCACATAAGTATTAGTGATTCATATAAATTTAATAAATAAAGTCGGTGTTAAGCCATTTACCAAATTTGTGCAATGTTGTTCTACTCTTTATCATTACTGGATGATCTGGATCAAGGCCCAAGATGCGAAGCGCAATATAACTCAAAGTAGTCCCAAATACTGTCGAGTGATGATCAATATGCCTAAATAAATTAAAAAATCATGATTTTCCCACCCAAGACAAGGATGATATTATGGAAGATGGAAAATAAACTTACAACCCCCATCCACCGTCAATAGGATTTGCTTTATTCGTCAAATATCTAATAGTTTCTATTCTCCAAGATTCAGGAATAGGAATTTGCGTAATATACATAGTAATAATAAGTAATGGTGTCAAAAATGTCAACCCGCTAAATTCACATGCCCAATGACCATTGGAAGTTTGTAATTGTTTAAAAAATTCGAATCCATTTTGGGCTGCTTCGAAAGCTGTTTTTGGTTTTTCAAAAGTTTTGGATTGCTTTTCAAATTAAATCGGGATTAAAGATGCAGTTAATAAAAAATTTTATTACAATCCGGTAAAAATTTTTCGCATAATTCTTTTTCCAAGACTTACAAAAGGTAATCCAATCCAATACTTTTCAATGAAGGATTGAGGATAATTTTTAATCTCATCTTCATCTAAATAATGCCATGTCTGTCTTCCACTATTGTCAACTTTTAGTCTCCACCTAGTTAAGTCCGTTCTTTCCATACAGTTATTATCCATTTGACTCATTTCAAATAATTGCAACTTTTAATTAAATTCGAATTTTAATGAGTTTTTATATGCATTTTATCCCGTAAATTTCGAGTACACATAACTTAATGGGCAATTATTTTATAAATATCTTCATAAACAATTAATTCATAGTCAAGTCAAGTCTGTTTAAAGACAATTTATGTGATACACTTAAAACAGATTAATAGATTATGTCATTTTCTATCAAAGATTGTCAATGAAATGATTGCCGTCAAAGGAAACCTTTAATCTGACTTTTAGTTATTATATCAGCTGATTTCCACGGTCTAATAGATCAATCACTATGCTATTTTGATTAGTTCAACCAATGCAATTTAGCAGAAATGTTCACTTGACGGCACTCAAATGTAATGCCTTCAAAATTACTATTAAATAAACTCTCGGATTAATTGTCTTTAAAATAAACTTGTCTATAAATTGATTGTCTATTAAATAAACTTGTCTATAAATTGTTTGTCTATTAAATAACTTGTCTATAAATTGTTTGTCTATTAAATAATTTAACTTACCAATATAAAGGAAAATCTGAAACTTAGAGCGCATTAATGATTGACTTACAAAACATCTATCAAAAATAAAATGATTTATTTATGTCAGAGATTGCAATATGAAGCTAGAAAGGACATCCCGAGGTTTACATATTTATTGTAAATCTAATTGTATGCGGAGATAGGCAAATTTACAATTTTTGATCTAATGCAGAGCCTGTACAAGTATCGAAATAGTACCCGAGTAATCTATAGATAAGAAAAACTTTTTGGTTGCTTTTTTTTTTGCAGGAGTACGTATCATTTCATAGATATTTTATTTCATAGACAATCAATTCATAGATAAGTTCATTTTGAAGATACTTAATTTGCGAACTTTTATTTTAACAATAATCTTTAATAGTGAATAACTTCTAATCTATAAATCTGATTTGAATAATTTGATTACCAAGATAATTATCTCAACAAGTCAATCATTGATAATTAAATTATCAAAAAAGGACCAAAAATCAATCAGTTATTCGTTGTTAAAGATTATTTATAAAATGAGCTTGCTATATCTGAGATTTCTATAAAATGTTACGTACCTTTTATGGGTCCACTAATTGTCCCCAAGTTACTATTGGTTGTGTGTAAATTGCATTTCTAATTGGATAAATCGACAATCTTTAATGATGTGTGCATATACAGCGAACCAAAGAACAAGGTTAGGTGTGACATAAAAATTAAAAAACAATCGCTTATTTTTGAAAAGACTTATTTATCTCAAAATTTCGTCTAAGAAATCGTCTTTTGCGTACTAACAAAAAAAGTTTATTGCAAGGTTTTACTCTAATATCATCTATGAATTCTGACATAATCTTAATTTTTTAAGGATAAAATGACCTGCCAATAGGAACTTGGGTGGAAATTAGTAAACCCGAGTTACATAATTTTACCGGGGGACCAACATTTTCATTTTCGGGATTATAGTGGATAAATATTATCCCTTAAACCGTTTTCCAGGCAAATTTTCCTGGAAATTTCATCAAATTATATTGAATTGTAGTCTAAATCGTAGTAGATACGTAGTTAAATTGACGGTTTAAGGGATAGTGGATAAATATTATCCCTTAAACCGTTTTCCAGGCAAATTTTCCTGGAAATTTCATGATTGATCTGTGATTAAGCTATCAAATTATATTGAATTGTAGTCTAAATCGTAGTAGATACGTAGTTAAATTGACAGTTTAAGAGATAGTTTTATAAAAAAAATTTAAACTTAAATTGCTTATAACTTTATATATATATATGATTTAAGATCCAGTAATTAATAGTACGTACATCTCTGGTTGAATATAGAAATATTATACTTTCAAAGCAACTTTGCTAGAAAATAATTGAAACAAGTTTATTAGACCTACAAGTCGGGTTATCAAAAATATCATGTATTGAAAAACTTCCGTCACTTTCAGGAAACTGTTTACTAAACCTGAATATGATACACATCTTAAGACGTGAATGAAAAAATCGAGTTACAATTAGGGAATTAGGGATGGAACTTTGGCTAGAACGTAAAATTAGTCTTATGACAATTCGGATATATAAATAAAAAGTAATATCTTTTTTTAATATTAACGTTAACTACGTTTATTACACGTCAATCTGGTTATATCAGTCATCTATATATAATGACATTTTTTAATTTTTTAAACCTGTATACTTGCCCTGACATCTATATATATCGAATAATTTTTGTTTTTGAAGATTGTTGACATAACCAGAGTAACATGTATAAAAGTCTAAAGTTATTGGTTGATAAGAGCAGTCTTTCCATAAATTTACAAACACACCGAACATGTTGAACAAGCATTCAAACGAAAATTTAATGGAACCAACGATCTGTAGAATAAGTATTACGAAAAAATGGTTTCTATGTACCGATCATGCAGGAAATTACAATCATTCGGCTAATTTTTATCAGGTCTTTCAGGAATTATTAAAACAGCTGTAATTACAACTCGGTAACTTATCAAACGGTCATAAATGAACATAAGTTTTTTTTTTTGCACAAAAAAAATTTACATACGTGCGTTAGCAAAACATATAAAATGTGCAGTATGCGCGCACTAAATTCCAAGTCTGTATTTTTTTTACTGAAGAAAATCATTCAATTGTCCCAGAATTATGAACTAAAGCTATATAATCATGCCTGTAATTTACCAGTTAGTACAGCATAATACCCGATTCTAAAATCGATTACCGTATCTATACTTATTCGACTCATCGTTTTGTTTCCAGCATAAGTTAACGGAATTTTTTTTCGCGTACTGCACGTACGGCCATTTTTAGCAATCTGATTGGCTTGCAAAATTTATATTAATGATAGCAAAAATTTTATATAAACTAGAACATGGCATTGCAGTTTACAATATTTAGGATATTTGCCGTAATTCGTAATTTAATAATCTTGACAGGCGTACTACACGATGGCTAAGCACAGGCTATAAGTTTAGAATTGTAAGCAATACAATATGCTTATATACGCTTTATCTTAGTTGGCTTCAATTCAAATCTTTTCCAATACATAGCATTCCATTTCTCTTACTCAATAGACTAAATAGTTCATAATTTGAATTCACTTGTAAGCTTGTATGATTTTAGTATATTAGAATCACATGATTACATTTCAGTCAAAAAAAATTACATACATTAAAATCGACTTTATTTTAGATCAATTATAACGATTAGATAAAAATGCGATTCAATTAACGGTCAAAGAAATTATTATGGAATCTATTCTCACCCCCTACACGAAAGTGGCCCCAGTATTTAGTGACTTGTATATATACGTATGAACATACTGCATTAAACAGTACTATAGATTTAGGATTCAATATTTCGATGAATTATTTCTCCTCATGTAACATATAATTTCTTGTATCAAAATATCAAATACAAAGACAATAACTCATCAGATGAAATATTCAATTCACCAGTGCCTGCATTTCATTGACTTCAAAATCAGCTAATATGAACAATTCAGAAGGATATTCTATAGATAGCCAAAATGCGTATTTTTGTTAGAAATTTAGCGAAATATAAAATCGATTTATATAAAATTCTTTTAATATAATTTATTGGCAAATTTTTAACATAAGGATCGTTTATACAAATCTTATCATAAAACAGTTAACTATTTTTTTCATTGGCCTAGTGTTTCAATTTACTTATTTTTTTATATGCTTGTATATTATATTTTACTTTGACTTTTGATTTTCTCCTATAATAATAATTAATTATAATTTTTTGCCTCTTTGTTTGGCTTTGAATTTGTTTTTAATTCAAGTATGTCTTTGTAAATTGTTTTATAAAGCTTTTAATTGTATTTTCTCTTAGTAGAATAAGACATTTAAGCATTAAAAAGCTTCTTTTTTTTTTAAGAGTTAGGCCTGGCCTCGGTCTTTATTAAACAATTTGGTATTACATTAACTAAAATGTTTTTACATAAATTGTTACATGGACATATAGCTAAGACTAGTTTATCTTCAGTCCAAAACTCTACTAGAGTAGGTTGTCAGACCTTTTCTAGATTTAGTGTTGCAATGTAGATTGTAAATATGTTAGTAATAGGGAAAATAATTCCTATTTTTCATATTTAGTTGCAGCTACTTGGTTTGTAGCTAGGTATTCAGGGTTGTGATTGTTAGTGAATTTGTTAGTAAATTGGTTTAATGCACTGCTTTGCATTTTTCTGTCTATATTTGTTTATGTATATTGTCTAATACTTTGTAAAATAAGATAACAAGTGTATTTTAATTAATATTGCTAGTTGCAGATAAGTTGTTTTGGATTAGGTTTTGTAATCTAAGAAAGTTATATATACTATTTAGTGTTTAAAAAAGTTGTTAAAGTAAAGAGAACATGTTATATAATTCAATTTTGTGTTTAATAAAGAATTTGTCAATAGTTTGTTAAATTAACTAATTTAGAAATATGAAGTTGCAGTGCATTTTAATTAGTAAGTTGTTTTTAATATGTATAGCATAGCAGTTACAGGTAGAATTGGTATATGTTTTTGGGTTTTTATAGTATAAATTTAAAAATATTAGTAACTTATTTAATAGAAATTTAATTTTAGTTATAAGTATTTGAAATAAGTAATGCAAATATTAGGTTTGTTGTTATAGTTGATAAATTTGTATATTAGGTTTTAGTTAGTATTTTTATAGATATTATTTCAGTATTTGGTTTTGTTAAAAATATGTCATTTTGCAGTATTTGTTGCATTTAATAAATGTTAAATAAAATAACAAGTTTTGTTTTTAATTAATATATTGTTTTAACTAAGATAAAAGTTGTTGTTATTAAGTGCATAAGACTAAATATGCTGTTTATATTATTGTATTTTAGTAAACAAGTAGGTTGTTCTGTTATAGTAAAAATAGTTATCAGAATCCTCAATATAAATACTTTTAATTTTAATGTCTTTGCAAACAATTATAGTTT